TTTGGTAAGTAAACAACTGATTGTAATTTGTAAGTAACTAAGTATATAATGAATTCATCGCTTACCTCGGTCACACCGAGAAGCACTTTTTAAGCAGGAAACAATACCGCTGCCAACAGAATGTAATATTTAATTTTAACTTTAATTTATATTCATATTGGCTCATAAGCACAAGATTTTACGAAATGAAACTTTGGAAACTCACGTATTGTTTTCTTTTGAGCTTGCAAACAAGTTCCTGAAATAATAATAAAAAGAACAAAAAAAGTAAATATTTCGATCAAGCAAGGTAATTAACAAGAAATGGAAAAAAAAAATTGCAGTTGATGATTAAGAGTGAGTAATCGCACAGGTTACGAGGCTGACAATTTGGAGCCGAGCTTCCAGATGAGAAGTTGTTGTAAGATAAGTCACTGCACACAGATTGAAAGGGTTCAGGTTATAAAATGAGGCGAATGAGGGACACAAAAAGAAATAGTGAGAGAACTTTTACATGTTGTCCCCATCAGTCAGCATCCAAGCTGGCAGTGTCCCAATCAGTAAATTCCCGGTTAAATATCTGGAAATTAGAAATTTGAATTTACCCTCCTAAAACACTTTATTTAATCTCTCAAGTCGAGACAGTTAAAGTGGCGATAATTCAAAGTTATTTACAGCTTGTCAACAATAAGCTTACATGTAATCTGTGTTTGATAGACCAGTAAAGCTGTCAGGAATTCGCCCGCTTAATCTGTTGAAACTCAAATCTCTGCAAATAGACATAGATAGATAAATAAGTAAATAAATAAATACAAAAATTAAAGATCAAAGAACCTACTATAGTAAATTGCGGTAAAGAACTCAACAGCCATTTACGTAAGTGCTCGTGTATAGAGAAAACACAAAAATCGATACTTCATCACTTGCTATAACATAGTACAGAAAAATTAAGTAGGTGGAAAATCGATAGACTAACAAGACTTTCAAACCAGTCATTTCTCCAAGATAACTCGGCAACTCCCCAACAATATTGCAACTCCTCAATATCCTNAAATACTCCACTAGTTTACTTACAAAAAATGTGAGAGTTCGTTTTTTCATGACAGAGCAAATAAAAACACTCATACTCACAATGTCCTTAGCCTTGTTATATTACTAAGAGGCGGGAAAGTCGAACTGTTCCCTGTCAAGTCACTGATTCTTCTGCACGTTTTGAAATTACAAGTGTAACACAACTATATATAATTATATAATTTTTTTTTTTCCGAGCTAAAAAATATGAGGAAAAATACAAATGAAGTCAGGTGGTTTAGCCTAATTATAGAAAACACTTGTCATCTTTCAAAACTAAAAATATTCTTTTAAGGCATTCCAAAAACACTCCCTCAATGTGATGCTATGCCCTCTTGAAGTGCAAGTTGTAAAGTAAGAACAAATATTAAGTGGTCAATTGTAATTTAGATATTTTCTAGTTTACTAGAAAATACATCATACAGTATAATGTTTACTTACAAGTCTGTCAATCTGGTTAAGGAAGCAATGCCAGCAGGGATTGGTCCGGCCAAACCACTACCCTGAGCCGCTCTGAACATTATCGATTTTCATATTCAGCATTCACACAAGAGAAAGGAAAATACTCAAGGACATAAAAAGGGCTAAACATATATGAGAGAACAAAAAAGAGAAAAAATAAAAAATAAAAACGCTTACAATTTTTCGATATTTGTCCAGTTCTGGATAAAACTTGGTATGCTTCCACTGAAGTTGTTATCACTAATACGACTGCATCAAAAGATATTTAATTATCCATACCTCAGAATCTATAAGTAAGATATCAATGAGCAAAACATGACATAAATAAAAAAATAACTTACAAGTCTTTCAATGTGCTTAATCTTGCAAGATTTTCTGGTAGCTCCCCAGTTAAATTGTTTGAGGTAAATAGTCTTCAGATAAGAGACATCAAGAGATAGTCGCATTCAAATTCAATTAGCTTCATATCAAAGTGTTGAAAATAAATGAACCAATACACTCAAGAGTTAATATAACAAAGTGATTTTATTATAGAAATAAATATTACAAATGTATCACACTCTCAACTCACAATATATACACTCTGTTTTTGTAGTACAAGCACCTCACTCACTCTTTTCTTTTTCTTTGATCACACAAGGCACACACACACTCTACCTATATTTATACTAGTCATAGAAGCTTCTAGTTTGTAGATTAATTAGTAAACAAACATTAAAATAATATATCTAGCACTTTCTCTTCTAGCACTTTCTTTTCTAGCATTTTCTTAACTCATTGATATTTAATATTGCTAGATATTTCAAGAAACTTCTTCATATGTTGGTGGTGATTTAATTAACACTCCCCCTCACCACCGACATTCTATTGAGTTATATTTTCTTCTCGAACCATTCCAAGGCGTGTTCGGAACTCTTCGAATTTTGATAAATTGAGCCCTTTTGTGAACACGTCGGCTACTTGGTCTTCTGTACCAACATGCTTCATCTCTATCTCCCCTTTGAGCACTTTTTCTCTAACAAAGTGATAGTGAACTTCAACATGTTTTGTTCTCGCGTGGCATACGGGATTTTCTGCTATGCGTATAGCGGATTGATTATCACAATATAGTTGTACCGCATAGCTAAATGACTGATGTAGATCCTTTAATAGTTGCATAAGCCATGTGCTTTCTTGGGCCGCCATTGCTGCTGCTCGGTACTCGGCTTCTGCTGTTGATAGGGACACTGTCGGTTGTCTCTTGCTACACCATGATATTGCGGCCGATCCAAATTTGAACACATATCCAGTAGTGGACCTTCTCGTATCACGACATCCGGCATAGTCCGCGTCGCAGTACCCAACAATTTTGAAATCTTTATTCTTTTGATAGAAAAGTCCATAATCGATTGATCCTTTTACATACCTTAGTATGCGTCGTACTAACTCGAGGTGTGGCTTCTTTGGTTTTTCCATGAATCGGCTTGCGATCCCCACTGCATATGAAATGTCTGGCCGTGTTAAGGTTAGGTAGATTAGGCTTCCGACTAGCTGCCTATACATAGTCGCATCCTCCAAGTCTTTGCCATCTTGAGCACATATCTTGGCGTTTGCTTCAATTGGAGTCGATAAAGGCTTGCAGTCAATCATGCCAAATTTCCTCAATAGATCTTTAGCATATTTTGACTGACACAATAAAAGACCGTCGCCTTTTTCTTTTAGCTCAAGCCCCAAAAAGTGCTTAAGTTCTCCAAGTTCTTTCATTTGGAATCTCACCAATAAATTCCGCCTAGTTTGTTGGATTTCTTCTTCATCGTCTCCAGTAATGATGATATCATCAACATATACTAGCACTATTGCTAGTTTTCTTTCTCGTTTCTTGACGAAGAGGTTCGAGTCTGCTGGTGTAACAGAGTATCCACACTGAATTAAGAATTCAGCGATCTTACCGTACCATGCTCGTGGCGCCTGCTTTAACCCGTATAGGGCCTTCTTTAGTTTGCACACGTAGCCTGGATTCTCCTTGTCCTCGAACCCCGCAGGTTGGACCATGTATATTTCTCTGTCGAGCTCTCCATGTAGAAATGCATTCTTCACGTCCATCTGCCATAACTTCCAGGACTTGCTTGCTGCCAGTGCAATCAGTACTCGAACTGTTGTGATTTTCGCCACTGGACTAAATGTCTCATCGTAGTCTAGCCCGTACTGTTGTGAGAATCCACGTGCAACAAGTCGAGCTTTATATCTTTCTATTGATCCGTCAGGCCGCCTTTTTATTTTATAAACCCATTTACAAGATATGGGTTTAACTCCATTCGGTTTGGGTACTAAGTCCCATGTTTCATTCTGCCTTAGAGCCATAATCTCTTCATTCATTGCTTTTGTCCATTCTTTGGTTTTAATTGCTTCCTCAAATATTTGTGGCTCCTTTATACTTGTATCTTCTTCTAAGGCTATATTGGCGTACCTGGGATTTGGCCTCTTTTGTCTGGAAGATCTTCGTAGTTGTTGTGGACTAGTCGGTACTTCGTCTTCTTCCTCTCCTGGTGGCTCAATCTCCTCGAGTTGAGTTGGTCTCGTCTCTTCTGGAGTTATTTCATGTACGCCGGTCTGCCACGGACATTGAGTTCTTCTTGATGACTCTTCTTCCTCGTTTGATTCTTCCATTCTTTGAGTTGCTTCTGGAAGCTTCACCCATTTCTGGAGCTTATCCTCGATTTCTTTTGAATCTGGTAGCTCTAACTTCTGCGGTGTCCACCAAGAGGATGCTTCATCAAATATTACGTTGCGTGATGTGTAACACCGACCGGTTGATGGATCGCAACATCTCCACCCTTTTCTTTGGCTGTCATATCCCAAGAATATGCATCTGATTGCCTTCTTGTCAAATTTGCTCCGTAAGTGACTTGGTACGAACACGTAACAGACACACCCAAAGACTCTGAAGTGGCTAACAGTTGGTTTGATTTTCCATAGCTTTTCGTATGGTGACATGAATCCCAGCTTTGCTTGTGGTAGTCGATTTATTACATGGGCCGCCGTCTTCATACATTCTGCCCAGAACCTCGCCGGTACGTTCTTTGCATGTATCATGCTTCGACATGTTTCTGCCAGGTGTCGATTTTTCCTTTCTGCTATGCCATTTTGCTGAGGTGTGTTTGGACACGTCAGCTGATGGTGTATCTTATGCTCCTTCAGAAATCGAGAGAATTCTCTTGATGTGTATTCTCCCCCGTTATCCGTGCGAAGGCACTGGATCTTATCTCCGACTTCTCTTTCAACTATTTCTTTGAAGTCTTTGAACTTTGAGAATGCTTCTGATTTTTCTTTAATAAAGAATACCCAAACGTACCTTGAGAAGTCGTCGATAAATGTCACCATATAGCGCATACCACTGATCGAAGGTTGTTTAACTGGCCCAAATATGTCAGAGTGGATTGTCTCTAGAGGCTTCTTTGCTTTGTAGCTCGAATCTTCAAATGGTAGTTGATGTGCTTTGCCATACTGACAGCCAGCACATATTGTGTTATCCCTTATTTCCAGTTGAGGGAGGCCCTTCAACATTGATTTCTTCATCATCACCTTAAGCTTATGATAGCTCACATGTCCCAGCCTCGCATGCCATAAGTCTGCCGTTTCATTTTTTCGAGTCTTATCTACATAAGCAGACTCTGCTGACATTACGTAGATGGACTCGAGCTTTCGACCCTCCATGATTGGTGTACCGATAATTTTGAGGTTTTCGTACACCTTAACGTTATTGGGTCCAAAAATAACATAATTCCCTAAAGTTGTCAGTTGTGATACTGATAGAAGATTTTTCTTCATACCTGGGACATGGTAGACGTCCTGCAGTTGCACTTGGCCCGGACTGAACCGTGGAGTGATGACCGTCTTGCCAATATGGGCTATTGGCAACCTTGAATTGTTAGCAGTGACAACCATCCGGCCTCCGTTGTATTCAGTTGTGTTCTGCAACTTTTCTTTATCTCCTGTCATATGATTGGAGCATCCCGAGTCCACGATCCAATCATTCTCATAATCTATTCGTCCAGGGACGACAGCAGCCAATGCCATCTCTCCATTTAGGCTTGATTGATCCTCTTTGCGGGCCTCCTCAGATATAGTTGGGACCATCTCCTCGACTGTCGCCATGGATGCCTCTATATCCCACTCTTCTTCACTGTTGTTAGTCTCCTGGCGGTTGGATGTTGCTATATTCCCTTCAGCAGCCTTTTTCCTATGCCAACAGTCTCTGGCATAGTGATTTGGCTTGCCACATACGTAACACGGGCCCTTTTTATTTCCCTTGGACGTCTGATATTTCTTATAACGTTCTTGTTGGACCCCTTTTGTTTCAGAGCTTCTTTCTTCCTTTTTAATATATTCCTTTTTGTCTCTTTTATTTTGTTGACGTGGTCTCATATTCTTTTTATAACTAAATAAAGCTTCATCTTCTTTCTTTAATGAGACCTCCGTCATTTGTCTGGTCAGCGCTTCTTGGTCGGCTAATATATTTTCAAAATTTACCAAAGAAGGCTGCTCAGACCAACCTTGTATAGCGGCTATAATCCCCCTAAATTCAGGTCTTAAGCCATGGATGATAATTCTTCTCATTTTAGCTTCTGAAACTTTATCCGTGGGGTCCAATTCAGAGATTTCGCGACAAAGGGTTCGTACCTTGTTAAAGTAGTCGCGTACCGTCATCTCCCCTTGTTTGAGTGACAGGAGTTCGTTCTCAAGAAGTTGCAGCTTGAACTCATTCTTTTTGGAAAATAATGCTCCCAGAGTGTCCCACGCCTGTTTTGGAGTGCTTGCGTCCCGTATGTGCTCCAGTAACTCTTTGTCGATAGTCGTCTTGAGTGCGTACATGGCCTTTCCCGCCTTTATCTTCCATTTACGTAAGGCCCCAACTTCTTCAGGTGGTGTGACCTCTTCTCCGCCAACAATTTCCCACAGATCTTGGCCTTGGAGATACGACTCCATGCAAGTCCTCCATGTGGTGTAATTTTGATTATTGAGTTTCTCCATTCCGCCTACTGATTGTAGATCCGCCATCGTGACTTGGACTACCTCCTCGTAACCAAGCAAGCCTCACGCGCTTCACAATTTCTTCTAATTGTGCACGATGTTTTTGAACTCAATAATCTCCCCCTAGTTGACGGCAAGTGATGAGCCTTGAATATATTGGCACGAGCTTGAACTCTCTAGACGTGGCTCTGATACCACGTGTTGAAAATAAATGAACCAATACACTCAAGAGTTAATATAACAAAGTGATTTTATTATAGAAATAAATATTACAAATGTATCACACTCTCAACTCACAATATATACACTCTGTTTTTGTAGTACAAGCACCTCACTCACTCTTTTCTTTTTCTTTGATCACACAAGGCACACACACACTCTACCTATATTTATACTAGTCATAGAAGCTTCTAGTTTGTAGATTAATTAGTAAACAAACATTAAAATAATATAGCTAGCACTTTCTCTTCTAGCACTTTCTTTTCTAGCATTTTCTTAACTAATTGATATTTAATATTGCTAGATATTTCAAGAAACTTCTTCATATGTTGGTGGTGATTTAATTAACAGTACCCTCAACATGTCTCTAGTTAAGAGCCTTACAATCTCTCTATTCGAGGAAGATTCCCAAGCTCCGGAGGTATAGTTCCAGACAACTGATTGTACTCCAGGGTCCTTCAGAATTATTCAAAGAAAAAAATAAATAAATAAATAAACACGAATAATTTACATCAACAAAATATATAATACAAAGAAAACCCAAATTGGAAGCATGAGAAAACTTACAGATTTGCAAGTGTGGAGATGTTGGCAAGTTCTATTGGTATTGAACCTGTCACTCGATTCCCAATAAGAGAGCTGAAATTAAGAAAACCATAACTAATCGGTTAGTAAATTTGACTTCAAGGCCACAAACATAATAAACAAACCAAATTACTTGAGATGCGAGATTGATTGGTAGAAGGTTGTTTCGACTTGGGTAGAACACATTTGTTGATCGGATGAGTTCGATGAAATACAAATCTCAGCTCGTTCTCAACTCGATTATTACAGAAAATAATTAAAAATTCACATTTTGTTAGATTAGGCTAATAATCAAATGATATGCAAACACATTTTTCAAGTTCGACAATGGAAGCTTGAACGGTACTATATTCAGCTCTACCCGTTTACCAGTCATCGAGAAAAGCTTGTTTTGGCTAGGCCTAAGGCTTATCCAGCTCGAAATCAACATAAAAGCCGAAGGAGACTCCTAAAAACAGCATTCGAGCTCTAACATTTTTCAAATAAAGATTGAACTTTTAATTTCTGAATATAAGAAAAACAAATCCTTACTAAATTCCATGCTCGTTTCTGTACCAACCCCAGTTACTAACTTCACCCAAGAATCCAAATGACAGCAAATACACACACACACACACACAAACACACAGCCATAATCATAAAATCAAACACAACTGTGCATAGATACACATACAAACACAAACAAGAGATGATGACGTACATGTTCACAAGATTCATGGAGCCCCATTCCGGCGGGATGGTGCCGTTGAGGAAGTTCCGGGTCAGGTCACTGAATGAAATTGAAAATTGTGAGGCAAAAGATCGTTTTTTTTCTTCTTCTAGAAGAACAAAGAAAGAAAATAGTAACAGTTCTTCGAGTGCGTGTGTGTGATTTTGTGAAAAGGTACAAACTTTACATCTCTCGGAGGAAAGGGAGTCTAGTTAGCTCTCTTGGGACCGACCCGTTTAGATTCTGGGCTTTGAGAATTCTGCATTCAAAGTTGAAGTGACGAGTCAACTAATTTTCTTATTTTCTTTATAATTATTTTTCCTCCAAATTGTGATTGTTTGCTATTGTTTTGGTTGATACTGTTGTACTAGTGTATACCCGTGCGATGCACGGGAATAATATTAAATTAACAATATTATAAATAGACCTCGAGTTTGAGTCATTCAATGGCGGAAGAAGAAACTACTATTGATCCTATTTAGAAAGAGAAAAAAAAAATAATTATAAATTAAAGAGAGGATCAACAATACTTAATAATTATAAATTAAAGATTCGAGGTCAAACAATGTAAAATTATTTTGTATAAAAGAATAAAAAAATTTGATTACACACCATTTCAAAATTATTATTATACTTTTTTGTATGGTTAGTTTATAATATTTGTAAAAATATTAGTAATTAGACTGATGAAAATTAACTTCTTAAAGTAGATAATGGATTTATAGTAGTAATTATGAATTAGTTTCTATTTTATTTTATTTTTTCTTTTTAAAAATTATAAATTTCTAGTAGTAATTATGAATTGATTTTTATTTTATTTTTTCAATCTGTATAGATAAGGGATGAGATTTTTTAAACACGTGAAACGTATGCAATGAGATTTTCTAACAGAGATAAGCTCGTGTAGATTTATACTAAAAATAGGAAAAAGAAAAACAAATATTTATTGTCAAACAACGATTTTGATAAACTAAAAAATAGGAAAAATAGAAACAAATCTTTACACAATTAATGAGCCTATTTTTTTGTCTATTCAGATTTGTTCAATAATTACTATATGTAGGATATATTTAATGATTTTGGCGGGAAAAGGTTTCTTAATTTATAAAAAGGTTATTATTTTTATATAATGATAGATATATCTCTTGAAGAATGTTGTTTATTCTTCCTTTTCTTTTTTAGTTTTATAATAACTTGGTTTAGGAAAAGATAGATTTTCAATTTGAAGTTTGAAAGATAAATTAGATTGATTGAAGAAAGATATAAAAGTATTAATCTAATGCAATAGTGTAAGTTTAAAATATGAGTCAACTATTGTAGTAATTGATGTGCAACACAAAAAATTGACGTTGTTTTTATCATCTTTTCAATTTTTATTTGAATTATAATATTTTCATTTAATTTTTTAACAACTATATCCGGAGTCTTAATTTGATGATTTCAAATATTTTTAATTTTTCGAGTCCCGAGTTAATAAATTTTATCTTTTAAGATGCCAAAATAAAAGTAATCCATATTCTATAACCGAATTCATATAAAACTTCTTGCTCTTTCTATGTTTCTTTTTGTCCATTTTCATAGGGCAAATTTTGTTGACGTTATTAATTATTATACTCACATACTGACAACATGGCAAACTGTGTTGTTTTCAAAGGTGCAGTCACAAGTGAGAGCATTTTCAAACCCTTTGACCGGGTTTTGGGTCACCCAACCCGATAACCCGCTACATGGATCCACGCTGAAATTCCAATCACTTTTCCCCATAACATTTGCTACCACCCTCAATGACTCAACTGCAAAAATTAATTAAAAGAAAAATTCAACCCTAATATGTCCAAGAATTACTCGATGACTGCACGTATTTTATTTTGTAATAGTTTGTGTTGAAATAGGTAAAAAAAACCCATTAACAAAAAAAAAAGGGTAAAAAACTCAATAACGGCATGGATTTCATTTGTAAAGTTTGTGTTGATGTAATGTAACGGTGAAAAACTCGATGATTGCACAAAAGCAGTCACCAATAGAGTCGAGCCTTCCGAAGAATTATTATTTTGGTACAAAAAAATTTAAGAAATTAGAAAATAAAAAACGATTAAAGGAATTAATATTTTGGTTAGAGTAAAATCTTCCAAATAATAAGTATTTATATGAGTTGTACCTTCATCGGCTGGAAGGATGGCTTGCCCAGAAACAAATCCCACAACACAAATGAATATTGCAATAAGCCTTGATAGTAACATGGTGGTCACCTTTCAAG